TCTAAGGTTAACCGTTATCTTCCCCATATATCCGCATAAAATGTATGCATTACTCTGTGATTTATCTACCTCGAGTAGCTCCGGGGTCTTGTACAGGGTGAATATAACTTTAAAATTTAAAAAAAAAAAAGTTTTAGATGCTGACATATTTCAGGCTCTTAGATGTTGGCACATTCCTGTCTCTTAGATGTTGAGATATTTATCTTAAACGTATCTCCAGCTTTTCTATCGATCTTAACGTTTCAGCCTTCATTCATTCTCTCTACTGATGTGACGTCACCTCCTACCAGTTCTTATTCGAGAGCCTCGTTCTGGTGCAGACGCTGAAACCGGTTGTAAACAATAAAGAATAAACGTTGCATGTTTTTGTTTTGGCTGCAGCACATCGTAAGCTGGATTAACGATTCAATTAGACGTTCTTTATTACTTAGTTTGGGACCAGAAAACAAAGAGGATATAAATAGCACTACAATCGACCAACCAGGATTATTTTGAAAATGACAAGAACAACAACAAGTGAAACAGCCCCGCTTCTGATTATATTGATTTGAAAAAAGTACTAAAATAATAAAATAATTTTCTTAACTCTGATTTCTCCTGACATATTGTTTTTGCTCTTGTTTTTACACGATAATGAATACTCCATGATGTTAAAATATGTCTTAATTCATGCAAAAATTAGGTGTCAACGATCTAATTTTATAAGAAAATAAAAAATTTTATAATACGAAAATAGAAAATCTTATGCTAAAATCAGGAAAATATTTAAAATAATTTAAAACTTTCTTGTTTCATTTTTCTAACGCCAATTCTGGTTTAACGGCGGGGTTTCGCTAAAAGTGTTGAGATTGCTTCAAACACATCATAAGATAATTCTATTTTAAAGTGGGACAGAAAAGCAGTGTGAAAATAAAATCAATAGTAGAAAAAAATAACCGAGTTTTCTATCCATTTTCTTTTTAGAATGTATATCAACCTGACAAGACTCGTTGTATATATATATATATATATATATATATATATTAAAGAAAAAGCAACTATGATGGTGTGACCAACATGCCGGAAAACTTAACACATTAGGTAAGAAAAAAATCTCCAACACGGAAAGAAAAAAAGAAGACCAAAAGGTAAACACCTACCTACTTAGTAAAGTGCTCAATGCCAATATTATCTAGACAGATCAAAAACCGTTACACAGCGTCAACACTACAAAGATCAGCCTGAGTCGTTACTCGAGTTTCATGCTCCCGCGTTTTAGGCGTCTGAAGATCGCCAGAGCGTGAAACTCGAGTAACGACTCGGTCTGTCCGCTGTGTGTGTGTGTGTGTGTATATGTGCAATGTGCTAACAGTATTCGGAAATTAAAAACATCCCTACCACACACTGATACATACACAGAACGCACACACTCAATTAAGCTGAAAAATCGAATCATCCTTGATAATGGCTAAAGGTATAGCCGAAAGCGCTCGGAAATATAAAATATTTGGACAGTTCTTACACACCCTTTGTCCAGAAAAGAAAGCTCTTGTTAGAACACAAGAAAAATTAAATAAAAAGCTTAACCGTAGTACCTTGTCTGTCGTTTTTAATGAAACATGCATATATATATATATGTGTGTGTGTGTGTGTGTAGTACCCGAAAACTTATAGAAAGTTTGATATCATTTAACCTTATGTTGAACAGTAAATAGTAAATAAGGTGAAAAACAAAAGCTGATTAAAAAAAAAGGAAATAACTTATAGCTTATATTAGCATAACTTCCCTGTAAATTCGATCGTTTTTAAATACCGTATTTTACACTGAATTTTTTTATCATTTAACCTTATGTTGAACAGTAAATAGTAAATAAGGTGAAAAACAAAAGCTGATTAAAAAAAAAAGGAAATAACTTATAGCTTATATTAGCATAACTTCCCTGTAAATTCGATCGTTTTTAAATACCGTATTTTACACTGAATTTTTTTATCATTTAACCTTATGTTGAACAGTAAATAGTAAATAAGGTGAAAAACAAAAGCTGATTAAAAAAAAAGGAAATAACTTATAGCTTATATTAGCATAACTTCCCTGTAAATTCGATCGTTTTTAAATACCGTATTTTACACTGAATTTTTTTATCATTTAACCTTATGTTGAACAGTAAATAGTAAATAAGGTGAAAAACAAAAGCTGATTAAAAAAAAAAGGAAATAACTTATAGCTTATATTAGCATAACTTCCTGTAAATTGATCGTTTTAAATACCGTATTTTACACTGAATTTTTTATCATTTAACCTTATGTTGAACAGTAAATAGTAAATAAGGTGAAAAAAACAAAAGCTGATTAAAAAAAAAGGAAATAACTTATAGCTTATATTAGCATAACTTCCTGTAAATTCGATCGTTTTTAAATACCGTATTTTACACTGAATTTTTTATCATTTAACCTTATGTTGAACAGTAAATAGTAAATAAGGTGAAAAACAAAAGCTGATTAAAAAAAGGAAATAACTTATAGCTTATATTAGCATAACTTCCCTGTAAATTCGATCGTTTTTAAATACCGTATTTTACACTGAATTTTTTTATCATTTAACCTTATGTTGAACAGTAAATAGTAAATAAGGTGAAAAACAAAAGCTGATTAAAAAAAAGGAAATAACTTATAGCTTATATTAGCATAACTTCCCTGTAAATTCGATCGTTTTTAAATACCGTATTTTACACTGAATTTTTTATCATTTAACCTTATGTTGAACAGTAAATAGTAAATAAGGTGAAAACAAAAGCTGATTAAAAAAAGGAAATAACTTATAGCTTATATTAGCATAACTTCCCTGTAAATTCGATCGTTTTTAAATACCGTATTTTACACTGAATTTTTTTATCATTTAACCTTATGTTGAACAGTAAATAGTAAATAAGGTGAAAACAAAAGCTGATTAAAAAAAAGGAAATAACTTATAGCTTATATTAGCATAACTTCCCTGTAAATTCGATCGTTTTTTAACGGAGAAATTCATGAAAAAATAGAAAAAATATAAGAAAAAGGGAACAAAAATAATACGTAAAACATATACAGCGTTTAAAGCAAATAACGAAACGATATAAATTTAAATAATAGTAGTAATACCGAAAATAATAATAAACGTGTTCGCATTGGTAGCCGCATTACTACTACTACTACTATTACTACTACTACTGATAATAATAATCCAACTGCAGCAACAACGTACGTTTTCTAGAATTCAAGGCAAAGTTTATTATTTATTAAAGGAAATTTTAAATTCTGAAAATTCGTGATTGTCGCCATCACTGTTAGGAAATTCTGTTGCCACAGTAACACAGTACAGGATTGCTGCAAATCCCGCCAAAAATTTATTCTACGCATCTAACAGAAGACTTTTTAGGTACGAAATTTTGTTAAATAAGCGCGCATTATACGACGTGAAATATGGATTTCATAGTATGATCGCGAGACACGACAAGTAAACTTATTTTCTTTCAAGCTAATTGTTTATTTTTTCTAATGAAGGTATTTATTTACAAATGGGACATTAGGTCAGATGTATTATGTTTACAAAAACTATCTATTCACACAACCTACATCAAAACAAATTGTTGTAACTGACATTTGTTATTTTCCGTTTTTTTTTTTCCACACCCAGCATATAGATGATTCCATCGATAAAGGCTTTATTGGGTGGAAGTCATTTCGAAGGAAGAAACGCATAACAGTATTTATTGTATTTTTTATATTTTGTTATTAAATTTCCCACTATTTGTCAGATATATACAGTCATATATTATATATTATATAATATTATATTCTATCTATCTATCTATCTATCTATCTATCTATCTATCTATCTATCTATCTATCTATCTTACTCTGTTCATTATCTATCTATCTATCTATCTATCTATCTATCTATCTATCTATCTATCTATCTATCTTACTCTGTTCATTATCTATCTATCTATCTATCTATCTATCTATCTATCTATCTATCTATTATCTTCTGTTCATTATCTATCTATCTATCTATCTATCTATCTATCTATCTTATCTATGTATCATTATCTGTTCATTATCTATCTATCTATCTATCTATCTATCTATCTATCTGTTCATTATCTATTCATTATTATCTATTCATCTATCTATCTATCTATCTATCTATCTATCTATCTATCTTACTCTGTTCATTATCTATCTATCTATCTATCTATCTATCTATCTATCTATCTATCTATCTATCTTGTTCATTATTCATTATCTATCTATCTATCTATCTATCTATCTATCTATCTATCTATCTATCTATCTATCTATCTTACTCTGTTCATTATCTATCTATCTATCTATCTATCTATCTATCTATCTATCTATCTATCTATCTCTGTTCATTATCTACTTTAAAGACGAATATCCATTAATAATAACGTTTGGTGTATATATTCTTAGAACCGGCTGCATGTTGCTAGGTAACACGATGAAAAAACACACAGAGAAATAATAAAGCGAACCCTGTTTTGCATATTACATGTAATGGTTTTATACTGGACTTCACCTGCTCATCCGGATTGATAGCTAGGTAATACTTGGGACAACTTCTTAGTCAGCTACCAAATCCTCGCCCATCTACTCAGCCCGACGTGGTGGCTAACACATACGAACTTTGAGTTTTCCGAAGCGCGACACAAACACATTCGTCTCCCGCCAACGGTGGTTCTCTGCTCGATTCTAAGTATGACAAAACTAGAAATAGGTAATATTCGAGTGTTAAACCAGCACCCGGATATAACCTATTTATGGCTTTGTTGTCACTTGATCCCCGAAAATCCATCATGTACCCTTTGTAAAAGAATTGCATCGTAATGGATGCAACCTGCCTCACCCATAATTATAATGGATAGTGAAAAAAACAACAAAACAAAAAAATAAAAAACAAAAGGAAGTGAATTGTGGGTAGAAAATTGGCTATATGAGACAATGAGATATTAGAGGCATGATTAAATATCAAGCAACTTCACGGATGGGCGGACAGAGGGATGGATGGACGGAGCGAAGACGGAGGGACGGAGAGATGGACGAACAGGCGGATGGACGGACGGGTGGATGGACGGATGGGGGGACAGATGGACCGATGGTCGGACCGATGGTCGGACCGATGGACGGATGGAGGGACGGATGGACGTACGGACCGATGGTCGGACCGATGGTCGGACCGATGGACGGATGGAGGGACAGATGGAAGGACAGATGGACAGACGGACCGATGATCGGACCGATGGTCGGACCGATGGACGGATGGAAGGACAGATGGACAGACGGACCGATGGTTGGACTGATGGACGGATGGAGGGACAGATGGACGGACGGACCGATGGTCGGACCGATGGACGGATGGAGGGACGGATGGACGGTCGGACCGATGGTCGGACCGATGGACGGATGGAGGGACAGATGGACGGACGGACCGATGGTCGGACCGATGGACGAATGGAGGGACGGATGGACGGACGGACCGGTGGTCGGACCGATGGACAGATGGAGGGGCGGATGGACGTACGGAGGGACCGAAGGACGGAGGGATGAATGTAGGGACCGAAGGACGGACGTGCGGATGGATGGACGAACGATAGTGAAAGAGGAAGAACGAAGGAAAAGAAAAAAGAAAAGGAAAGAAAAACAAATTGTTTTTGCACCCCCCCCCAACCTTTACTTCCTATTACCCTTTGGTTAAAGATGACGCCACTTAGAAGACCGAACTAGCTGCTGGCCCATCACACAGAAACACTTGAGATTGAGATAAAAATAACCTTTTACGTGGTTGTCCATAGCATCACACTATGAACGAGGGGTAAAAGCACATCGGTGAGAAACTAGAGGGAATCATGCCGGCCTTAAACCCATTGCCAGAGAGATTTAGAGGAGTTCTCTTTGCAAGTATAATCAAATAATCAACCAGTTTTCCAACTAAGTAACAGATTGCTGATATCCTATTGCATTTCGGTTTCTACGACACCGAAATAATTATAAAATCATGTCGTGGTTATCAGATATGCTACTTACACAATCTGTACTCGCAATGTATTTGAAAGGTCGTTTTTCACCCTCAAGTCATTGACAGCTAGGTCAGTGAATGTTTGATATGATGCCAGCCCAAGTTAGGTAGGTCGCAATACTTGCAGACTTCTTGGAAGCTTCTTAAATCATTTCGATCTTAACACGAATCGGATGAAATCAGGCTTATTTGGTTGGTTGGTTGCTGATCTTGTTTAGCGGTATACCAACCTCAATTTGTTATTTAATGCCGAAACCTAAATATTTTAAACACATTTTTATGTCTTCAACTACAGATAAAATGTATTGTTGGTCATTTTGCTATAAAATGTATTGTTGGTAATTCTATTATGTATATTATGTAATGTATTGCTGGTATTTTTATACTTGCATAATATTTTGTGTTTGTTTGTGTGTTCATTATTTGCCCAGAGCTGGGACCTTAACAGGTGCTACCACTCCGGGTCTGGGTGGACCTGGGAACAACAACAATTTACAGGGGGTTTCATGTTCCACAAACCTCCAATCTCCTGATCAGAGACCTTGCTGCCGGATGTAGTTTATCGTCATACCCAGGACGAAGAATTGAGAGACCAAAAAAGTTGTGATAACTTAATTTAAAGCGATATAAAGAAAGGAAATAAAACGAATGCTAAACTGAAATCATAATCAGCAGTAATGAAACGATGAATAAATATATCGTGTGCACGAATTCAAAGATTACAATATATTCTCGACGCCTTGGCGTAGGGTTATGGCGAACGAGCTAGTCTGATTGAACGATGCATCATGATTGTAACCCTAATCTAAGATTAGATTTTGATACCACATTTTATGGAACTCAATATTTATAGAACAAATTTTGTTTAGGTGTTTAGGTATTTGCCCATCGCTGACAGGTGCTACTACTCCGGGACAAGGTGGACCTGAAAACATCAGCAATTCAGTGGTGGTCCCACTAGCCTCAAAGCCTCCAATCGCCGATCAGAGACTTTGCTGCTGGATGCAGTTTATCCTCGTACCTAGAATTATCAGGTTTATTTAACGTCAGCTAAAACTTGTAATTTTTATAGTTAAGCGTTCCTTGCGGTCAGCACCGCCGTTTTAATAATTAAAGAATAATAGTGTCATTTTCATGAATATTACAAGAGACATTTAATAATCGATAATCTTTACTTTCGTGAAACATGTTGCCGATGTGAGTGCAGGGTGTTGGGAGAAGGATAAATTGCCGTGAATCGTGACCAATTTCCGATTCCAAACACATTTCTCGCTGCTTACTGGTTTATTGTTGCAGATAAAGGAACCATTAAATATGTCTGGCTTGTTGGGTCACCGCAGGTTACGAAAAGGTCCCAGGAGGACAACATTTAGTCAATTCTTGTAAAAAGAAAATTCCATAACTCCGAACTGATAATACTAATTAGCGTAACGAAAGAAGGAAAGTGTCCCCCACCCCGTTTACACAATTTGATTCTTCGCTAGCCCTTTACCTTTGTAAAGGCTGTCCATCTCTGGCGTTCGATAATTGGGTGGATTAGAAACTCGCTATTGGCACCATCTAACATAGTACAACCTGTCGCATATTATTTGGAAAAAAGTCGAAACCCGCTAAGTAACCCCGTTGACCTTGAAGATGTCAAGAAAGTGAATTAACGTAATTATTAATGTATAAAATGTACATTTTCAAAATTTTAAAGCCTAAAAGTTAGAGGTGCGTATTATACACGAGAAGTAAATGTTAACTTCCCGGACAAGCGCGTGCTCTATTTGAGTAAATATCAGATCATGCTACTGTACTTATAATCTACTTTGAGTCAGGTTCGGCTTTAAATTTGAATATTAAAATCCTGATGCAATATTATTTATCAGTTTTCTATATTTTGTTCACATGAATTTCATAGGATAACTTATGCATTTTTTCAAAGTTTATTGTCGTAATTATTCGTGCATAATACGCACTTTATTCAAACTTAAATATTAGGAGTATGCATTATACATAAGGACTTAATATTAACGTTCTTTCCGCCCTTACTTGGATAGAGATTTCTCTCCAGCTGTGCTCGTCAAACTTTCTGCCTCCGATCCCCAAACGAGGCTATGTCAAAGGGCAGAGTCTCGTCTCGGGAAACAGCTACCCGACCCCATTTTATACGGAGTCTACGGGGAATTTTTAGCTGAGCCCACGGGCTTGGATACCCCTCCCCATTAAATTCGGCCTTGTGCCACATTTGATCGCGTGGGGTGGTTGGTAGATATCTTGCAATTGGAGATTCATTGTGGAATTCACTTGACTCACTTCTAGCAGTTGACTATTACGCGCCGCTGGCGAATCTTATATGTGTTGTTCTTGTCCTAAGTATTATCATTCATTACCAACCTTCGTGTGATTATTCTATTCAGTAACCTTCCCTAGGTTACAACAGTTATATTAACACATAGTAAAGAAGAAGACAGTTGAAGGAAAGACAGAAAAAGTTGAATGAAAGATTAAGAAAGAGAAAATAAAGAGAAAAAATCCGAAAGGACAGAGAAATGGTAATAAACAACTCCCACCCCCAAAAAGTAGTATAAAAGAAAGAATGAGGAATTTTAGCGTAAGCATCCTAAGAATAAAAAGACACAAACTGCATCTGACACATGCAGGTCAGACATACAAACTGCTTGCCATTGTTCATTTGCATTCAAACAACATATTGTCCGAGCGTGCTTACATGACTTAAGTTTCGTTTCGTACTTAGCATGTACGCTCGTTCGCGTATGCGTCTAAGCATGTGTCAATGCATCGGCCCGTCTCTGTACATAAAGCTGTGATGTTTAGTTGTCGGCCATGTTTTTACTCGGCACGAAAACAGGCCGATTCGATCGCCTTAATGCATCAAAAGTGCACTCCTTTTGTCCATGTCTTTCGTCTAGTCGCGTTTGTTTACTTTCGACTGAGTTTCCCTTTATTTACCGGCTCAGCGTTGATGTCCAATTGAAGTGGCCGATTGCATCTTTATTTGACCGTTACTGTGTACCACGACGTGCAGTAAGCGTTAGTAAACTAGTTGGTCATGGCTTCTGTGTAGTGTGTTTGATCTTCACTGAGCATCTTATGTTATAGCCTTTTCACAGATAAATATAATTTTAGTAAATAACAACAAAAACAATATTTTGATGACGAGGATTGAGATAATGATTAGCAAACTACGCTGGTTGACAATTACTACTGAGTGTTCTATCCCTTCTGTCCCTCTTGCCTTCAACATTTCCTGTAAGTGTTAAATTTTCCAAGCCCTCTTTCCTCATTATGTGCCTTAGTAATGTCAGTAGTCTTTTTCTGATCCCATGCGTCCTTTTTGTTTCTATTTTCTCTTAAATTCGTCATTGTTCGGCCCATGGCATTCTCAGCATCCTTCTGTAGAATCCCATTTCTGCTGTCTCTAGTCTCTTTTTCATCTTTGATGAGAATGTCCATCATTAACATGGTTCTCGTCGATATAACTACGGACAAGTGATTTCAATCCTCATAGGGTACCACATATTTATTTCAAAGTAAGCTGATCTTATTAAATAATAACATCAAATCCATTTCGTGTGATTCGGCCTGGCGTAATGATTAGCAAACTATGCTGGTTAGCAATTACTTCTGAACAGTGGGGTTAATCCTCACTGGGTGTCACGTAATGTTGACCTTGTGCCAAACTAAGGTAAACTCAATAAATGAAAATAGAGAAGAGAGGTGCCGCAAACGGTTTTGGTTGTAATGTGGATTTTTTTTTTAATATTTTGCTTTATTTTCCATGATTTTACTACACGGGTTTCTGGTCTCGCGACCGTCTTCAGGTAAAGGGCGGAGATTTCCACATATTATTAAAAATAATTAATTTTTTGTCCTTTATGTTTTTCAATGTTAAATATTCTCGATATGAGACATTCTCTGTTTTTTGAGACATTGGCAGTGAAGAGTTCTGCGCGAAGAGTCATAAAACAATTAAGGTTTGTCCAAAAGAAATGATGAATTACTTATCGGTATTTTATCTTTTAATGTTTTAATGACCCAATTGTTTTAAGACCCTTCGCGCAGAACTCTTCATTGCCAATTCAAGAAAAAAAAATTAAAGTAAAATTATGGAAAATAAAGCATAATATTAAAAAAAAAATCAACATTACAACCAAAAATGTTTGCGGCACCTCTCTCCTCTCCTTTTTAATATATATATATATATATATATATACATACAATCTATCTATCTATCTATCTATCTATCTATCTATCTATCTATCTATCTCAGTCTGACCTATCAACGTAAGTCATTTCTTATCGTTATAGCACTACTACCGAAGTTAAATCTATCTATCTATCTATCTATCTCATCCTGTTCCATTTCTATCTATCTATCTATCTATCTATCTATCTATCTATCTATCTATCTATCTATCTATCTCATACTGTTCCATTTCTATCTATCTATCTATCTATCTATCTATCTATCTATCTATCTATCTCAGTCTGACCTATCAACGTAAGTCATTTCTTATCGTTATAGCACTACTACCGAAGTTAAATCTATCTATCTATCTATCTATCTATCTATCTATCTATCTATCTATCTATCTATCTATCTATCTATCTCATCCTGTTCCATTTCTATCTATCTATCTATCTATCTATCTATCTATCTATCTATCTATCTATCTATCTCATCCTGTTCCATTTCTATCTATCTATCTATCTATCTATCTATCTATCTATCTATCTATCTATCTATCTATCTCATCCTATCTCATCCTGTTCCATTTCTATCTATCTATCTATCTATCTATCTATCTATCTATCTATCTATCTATCTATCCTATTCCATTATCTCATCTATTCATTTCTATCTATCTATCTATCTATCTATCTATCTATCTATCTATCTATCTATCTATCTTATTCTGGTCTATCAATGTCACTACTAATACGATCCTTGGTCGCTGGGGTTTTATCACTTCTGAACGTTGATTCTAGGTGGTTGGTTCACTTCATACTCACCCTAGCTGATAGTCGATTCAGCAATCTTCTATCTGTTTTTTCCAGTATTTTGACTTCGAGGCAAAACTTAAAGTCTATTCTCCCGGGGTTGTCGGCCTCCTAGGCTGCACAGCCCCTATTGCACTTAAAGGGTGGGAGTCCTTCAAGCATGAGAATTTCTGGTATCGTCCACAACCTTGTGTCAAACTTACTATCGCTGAGGTGGCTAGGTGGTCAACACGCATCTAACGTATATTTCAATATTTCTTTTGTTAGCATAAATTTCTTTTTTTTTTCGTACGTCTAGTTTCTAAACTCCCTTTGCGATTAATGTTCTAACACTGCCCCCACCTCCATTGGTTTGTGACAAGCAAACCATATCAATCTAATACGTGATATAAAATCTGGATGTTTATGCTTGCTGCTTCCCTTGATCAGTTAACAACTGTGAATCGTGGTTATCTTGTATTTTTCAACGTCGATCAGATTGCTGAAGAAAGACTTTTATTGATTTTCTTATACTTTAGAAGTTTACAGTAACGAAATTCATAAACACTAGCAAATTCACTTTGGTTTGAGACATTCATTGTTTAAATTTTTAACATATTTTTCTCTTTTTTAAGTATTCACTTTTGCTTACTCTACTTATCACGTTATGGATCCTCTACATGATTTAATTAGAACTCTTACATAAAAATTGACGGTAAATAATTTTATCAGAGCCTGGATGTCTGTTGTTTTTAAGACCAGTAGTAAAATCAGATCTTCAAAACAAGTACCATTGACTAAAATAGAATAAAAAAGAAAGGATGAATTAAAGAAAACTTTCGGGAACAAGTGCCACTTGGCTGGAAGTTTCCGCTCGCAATCTTTTATCAAGTCATAGAACTGGAAGTAGTTTCAATGCTGTGCGTTGACGAGGTACAGGCGATCAGTTGGCAGAAGAGAAGAACTAATCCGTTGGTCTGTCGTAGCAGAAGTCGCCCCAAGTATCAACGACCTACGATTCTCCAGACAGTGTAAGTGAATCATTGAATAAAATAACCAACATAATGTGAAACAGGACTCGCGTTTTCATTTCTCACCGTGGTGTTAATTTCAACTTTCGTTTTCCTTGTGGACTTTCCCAGATTTTGTGCAAACTGACGCGGACAAAAATCCAGACATAATGTGTGTGTATGTGATTATATATATATATATATATATATATATATATATATATATATATATATAGAGAGAGAGAGAGAGAGAGAGAAACAGAAAGAGACAGAGACAGAGAGAGACAGCGACCTGTTATATGTTTAGAAATTAAACTAAGCACAGGATAGGTCAGGATGAAAATAAATATGGATAGAAATAATGTTTTATATTGTATTTGTCCAAGTGAAGACCAAACAGTTGAAATCCTGACTTTACGTTCCAACTCATGTTACTAAAGTTAGTTAGGAAACAAACACACGGACTATGCCATTATTGAAGCCTTATCACTGACAAAGTTCAGCTTTGTAAATCTTCGTTCCCACCTCACTTGATGTCCAGAATGTTCGGTCTTATGCTAGACGAAGCTTAGCTTCGTTAATGTCAATAGGAGAGAGCAGTGTAGACAATTTACTGCTTCCCAAAGGCATATATGCCGTATACTTACGTGTTGCAGTGCGACAGAAGGTTAAGTTAAGGTACTTCAAAAGAACTGTCCTGAAAACTTTATCGAAAAACACAAAAGCGGAAAGAGATTTGCTTCTTTCAACATTAAATATTTTGTCTTTTTAAATCAATTTTTCAGTCTCTTTGAGCTGGAGAATATTTCCGGTAACTTTGAATCGAATGCGCCCTCTCTGTATATCTGTACATACACGCGCGTATATCTATCTATCTATCTATCTATCTATCTATCTATCTATCTCTCTCTCTCTCTCTATATATATATATATATATATATATATATATATATATATATATTGGGATGCGCGAATGTCGTGGGGCCGTCAGTGTATTCTGTGTATGCAAATGTTCGTATATATACTTTTGTGTTTTAACGCGCGAATTCTTTCAAACATCTGCGCAGAAAAATGAATGTTTTTATGTATGATTTCGTACCTATATATAATTATATAAGTACATATTTAACAGTGTGTCAATGTATACAATGTACATGTGAGAATTAGCATGCATATATATGTATTTGTGTGTGTATATATATATATATATATATATATATATATATATATATATTTATATATATATATATATATATATATATACAAATACATATATATGCGTGCTATTTTTACATGTATAATTTTTATATATATATATATATATATATATATATATATATATATATATATATATATATATATATATATCCTTGCTCTCTGTCTCTTGTTAGTCTTTTCTCTGTCTGTCTCTCTGTCTCTCTCTCTATATATATATATGAACGAGTTTTATATATATATATATATATATATATATATATATATATATATATATATATATATATATATATGAACGAGTTTATAGAAAATGTTGACATTTAAATGTTTTGAAGCAAACTATTGTCAAACCAGATTAGAATACTGGAATCAACGTCTACTGAAGATTTGTTTTATGAAGATAAAGATTGGTTCTAGTTATTCTTGGGTTTTAGTTTAAAATAAGTTTTCTCTATCTATCTATCTATCTATCTATCTATCTATCTATATATATATATATATATATATATATATATATATATATTAACAATTATAGCAAAAACATGTTATGAACCGTTACATAAATGCAGTCATATTTCAGTACTATTGGTACTTCTTCAGGCAACGGTAGTTATCCTGAAGAAGCACATATAGTGCTAAAACATGATTGCATTTATGTAGCGTTTTGTTCATAATTGTTCATAAATATTATTAAGCTCTACTCTCTAATGAGGACTTTTTGAAAAATATTATATTTGGACACTGGAATTAACCCACCTTACACCTGGATATATATATAAGGCGGGAAGCCACTAGGACGCAAGCAGTTACAGAAGACTTGGAGCAAGATCAGATAGGAGTGATAGAGGAAAGGATGAGGAGAAGGATAGTGGATAGATCAAGGCAACCGGATAAAAGAAAGAGGTTATAATGGTTCCAACGGGAGAAAAGTGTGTATATTAAAAAGAAGAGAAGAGAGGTACCGCAAACGTTTTTAGTTATAATGTTGATTTTTTTTTAATATTATGCTTTATTTTCCATAATTTTACTTTATAATTTTTTTTCTTGAATTGGCAATGAAGAGTTCTGCGCGAAGGGTCATAAAACAATTGGGTCATTAAAACATTAAAAGATAAAATACCGATAAGTAATTCATCATTTCTCTTGGACAAACTTTAATTGTTTTATGACTCTTCGCGCAGAACACTTCACTGCCAATTCAAGAAAGACATTCGGATTACTAACACAAAAACAGAGAATGTCTCATATCGAGAATATTTAACATCGAAAAACATAAAGGACAAAAAATTAATTATTTTTAATAATATGTGGAAATCTCCGCTTTTACCTGAAGACGGTCACGAGACCAGAAACCTGTGTAGTAAAATTATGGAAAATAAAGCATAATATTAAAAAAAAATCCACATTACAACCAAAAACGTTTGCGGCACCTCTCTCCTCTTCTTTTTAACATATATATATATATATATATATATATATATATATATACATACAATCTATCTATCTATCTATCTCAGTCTGACCTATCAACGTAAGTCATTTCTTATCGTTATAGCACTACTACTGAAGTTAAATCTATCTATCTATCTATCTATCTATCTATCTATCTATCTATCTATCTATCTATCTCATCCCGTTCCATTTCATCCTGTTCCATTCATCTATTCATTCATCTATCTATCTATCTATCTATCTATCTATCTCATCCTGTTCCATTTCTATCTATCTATCTATCTATCTATCTATCTATCTCATCCTGTTCCATTTCTATCTATCTATCTATCTATCTATCTATCTATCATCTATCTATCTATCTATCTCATCCTGTTCCATTTCTATCATTCATCTATCTATCTATCTATCTATCTATCTATCTATCTCATCCTGTTCCATTTCTATCTATCTATTTATCTATCTATCTATCTATTTATCTATCTCATCCTGTTCCATTTCTATCATATCATCCTGTTCCATATCTATCTATCTATCTATCTATCTATCTATCTATCTATCTATCTCATCCTGTTCCATTTCTATTCATCTATCTATTCATCTATCTATCTATCTATCTATCTATCTATCTATCTATCTATCTATCTCATCCTGTTCCATTTCTATCTATCTATCTATCTATCTATCTATCTATCTATCTATCTATCTATCTATCTATCTTATTCTGGTCTATCAATGTCACTACTAATCCGATCCTTGGTCGCTGGGGTTTTATCACTTCTGAACGTTGATTCTAGGTGGTTGGTTCACTTCATACTCACCCTAGCTGATAGTCGATTCAGCAGTCTTCTATCTGTTTTTTTTCCAGCCCACGTTTCGTTTTATTTTTGATCCCGGGAAAGATGTATGTGACAAATTCAAAATGTGATGTGGTTTTAAAACTATATTTATACTTATGTATATAAGCTTATTTACTCATTTATTCAAACTTCAGAGGAGATTGCTCAGGCACAGGAGTGTCAGAGTAAGCTGCACTATTGAATCAGCTACGAGATTCGACCTAAGTAGCAATACAAATGCAGAAGGACGTCTACCTGTGTATTATAGATTATGCAAAGGCGTTTGGTAAAGTACGCCACACAGATCACATAATGAGGCAGTTGTTAGCGAATCGTTCTGTGAGACAAACTTGCTAAGTATAGCATCATGTTGTTCTATGTAGGTGGGTACTATATAAGATGGAAAAACTGAAAACTAAAAGAAGAATAAAGAGTAATAGAAAGTGGCATGTGAATATATATATAGATAGCTATCATGACTTACAGCAGACGCAAAATAGGAATGCAATGTGAGTGGCGTGATCTAATAAATTCTTCATTATATTTTGTGCAGACGATAACGATTTGCCTCGGTCTCACGAGCGTAACTATCTTTCCCAGCAGCACAAGTCTCGAAGGGTTGAGATCTCAAAGAGCGGTAGCCATTTTTCTCCGCTAGCGAAAATTGAATTTACGTTGACCAAAGAAAAGCAACAACCTATGTAGCCTTCGCTCAAAAGCCTGCACGTGTGGACTAGTGTGTCACACAGAGAAACACACGTATTCGCAAACACCAGCGAACTCGAAAGGGTGTACACACATTCACCAAAATGGTTCACACGTGTTTATCTAGACAGCGACAATGCATGCCCGTTGATTCAACCGTTCTTCGAGTTTAAAGCTGTAAAGCAATCATTGGTAATCAGGCGACTGCCAGTCCATAGCAGCGCGCCTCATAGGTGCATCGGACGAACAAAGCAGGTAACGTGGAATGATGCAAAGACAATCAAAGATTTAGAAACAGTTTTAAAAAAATCATATGCTAAAAATAAATATAATTTCAAAATTTAAGATATTATTATGGATTACTTGTAATTGCATGCATGAGTCCCAGGATAAATAGTTATAAATAATTATTGACCGATTTTATCATTATGATATTTTGGCATTGTATCAGGTATTAAGAATATAGTAACTAGGCTCCGTAAATTGGAGGAGAGGGTTATCGATAATAATATTCTTCGAATCTGTGGTTGTCTCCTTTTAAACCTTTCTATAATTTTTTTAAAATTATTAAATATCCTTTTTATCACAAAAAATTGGTGAGGCGCGAGAAAATGTTTATTCTGAAAATACTACCCAGAAAAAATGTTTGGGGACCACTGATCTAGAGATTCTGATTCTCACTAAGCTATTCGCCTTTTAAGGGCTACCAGATATGTATCCTCTTCATAGGCGATCATGGATCTCCACAATTTCTCAATAGTAGAAACTCTATGAAATCCGTACTTACATTCATGGTTTAAAAATACGAAGGCGAGAAAATCTATATTTAAATGAATTCATGAAACACGTGATTTATTTTATATTAGTAATGCCTGTGAAAATTTCAGGGTTTTTTATTCATATTTTCTGATGAATAATAATTCGTAATTTAATGACAGAATAAGCTCCCTTGCGACTTCCTCAACATTAAAAGAGCCACAGAAATTCTCCTATTGCCTCGTTAAGTATTTGGGCTTAACAGCTTCGATAAAATATTAAAATTGCAATTCTAAGTGCGAATGCAAATCATTATTTAAAGAAATAAGGGGATACAAATCAAAATATACAAAATGAACTCAGTTTTATTAAAAGAGCCACGGAAATTCTCCTATTGCTTCGTTAAGTATTTGAGCTTAACAACTTCGACAAAATATTAAAATTGGAAGCCTTGGTATGAAATGCAGGTCATTATTTAAAGAAGTAAGGGGGTACAATTGAAAATATTCAAAATGGGCAAATGCTTCACTAAAGCAGACGGTAAACGTATGAGAGGGTTATTGTCTTCTCTATGTTGCATTTTCTATCTTTCTTTCTTTCTTTCTTTCTTTCACTAAAACCAAAAAGCGTCTCTTATATGTCCTTTTCTTTCTAGCCTGTTATTTATCTGAGACAATAGCAGAAAGTAACGTACGTGCTCAGTAAGTAAGGGACAATATTACTCAAAATATGTATAAGGTGGTGTTATATCCGTGTTCGTGTATCTTTCTTTCTATGTGCCGTGTCTTTTCAGGACGTAGGCGATCATGGGCTCGCCATCTTCCTCTATCCCTTACAGCTCTGAAAAAGTTCCTTCCCTCTGCTTCCAACCCCAGATCACGTTCAGTCATCCACTTGTTTAAAATCGCTCGAGATGCCATGCGTTGTTTTCTCTTGTCTGCATTTCCCTCTATTCGACACGTGAGTGTCAGATTCTCCAGGCCCTCCTTCCTCATTACGTGTCCCAGGTGTTCGTGTGTAGATGTTCTTATTTAATAGTATTATACAATTAAAAGGTACGAGTCGCCAAAATTCAGGGAATTTGAAAATCACGCACAAAAAGCATGTCGTGCGGATATTTTCACTAACCATTTTAGTCCCCAAAAACCCCCATATATAGAATAGCATATTTCTATCACTTTTTTCTCTTATCTGTTTATCTCTCTCTCTTTGTGTCAGAGAGAGAGAGAGAGAGAGAGAGAGAGAGAGAGAGAGAGAGAGAGAGAGACTAATATTCTTCATTCATACAGATGTGATGAAAGAAACACCCTATTTAAAGTTTTTAACAACTTTATAAATTCTTGGTCGATTTTCATAAACCATGTTTTAACCTGAGTAAATTATCAAGCATTGGTGTGAAATCGTTCTTGCTCAGATCGAGAATTTGTCCGTTGCTATCTATCTATCTATCTATCTATCTATCTATCTATCTATCTATCTATCAACGTCAATTAATATCTATCTATCTATCTATCTATCTATCTATCTATCTATCTATCTATCTCAGTCTCATATCTATCAACGTCAATTAATGTCTATCTATCTATCTATCTATCTATCTATCTATCTATCTATCTATCTCAGTCTCATATATATCTATTAACTTCATTCTATCTTCGTAGGTAAGCCACTTATCAGTCGAATTATGAGCAAAAACATTTTAATTTACACAACAAATATTTCCTTCTCAACATAGTACCATTCATTATGAAAGCACCTAATACGAAGTGAATATTTAAGTTTAATATCTATCTATCTATCTATCTATCTATCTATCTATCTATCTATCTATCTATCTCAGTCTCATATCTATCTATCTATCTATCTATTTTCAATCTATCTATCTTTGCAGGTAAGCCACTTATCAGTCGAATTATGTGCAAAAAGCGTTTTAATTCACAAAACAAATATTTTATTTTCAACATAGTACCGTTCATTATGAAAGCACCTAATACGAAGTGAATATTTCAGTTAAAATCTTCGCTTAAAACTACGTCAATAACAATATTTACACCCGGACTAACGTTCTCATCTTTGTTGTCATATAATAACAACAACAAAGGTGGCTATATTAGTCCGATTTTAAACAATGTCAATTATGATAACTCCTCATCCCAGAAATTCAAACAGTAATAAGTACGTATCAGATTTATTGATACACCCTCGTATATATACAAACGTACGCACACACACATATATAGTCTACTTTAGGGAACCTCGTCGTGGTGTAATGGTTAGCAAGCTTTGTCTTGCTAGAACAATTAATACTGAGTAGTGAGTTCGATCCTCACTGGGTGCCCCATAGTTTCGGACTTGTGCCACATCTAAGCTACGCTTAAAAATCACCATATATAGTCTTCTTAACAATTTACCTTTGAGCATGCCTTAAGTCAAACGCCCACGTGTATGGCTACCTACCAATTTATCGACACACCTTCATTCATTCTTGTACTGATAAGACATCTGGTCATAACAAAGCTTCTTGCATAAAAGAAAGTCTACCTGCTTTGTCGAGAGGGAAAAATAGAGATTGCGGAGTTCTCCATTATTCTTTTATTATGACCAAAGTCAGCGTCCATTGTGGCAGGCTGAATTATGAAATGGCAGACGCTGCCGTCACTTTCCGCTCTACTTAACTTGGGTTAGCCTCTATCATTGCATCGTTCTTTGTTTGCGACGAGCAGACAACAGAACATTCAACACCCCACTTCTTAGAACCATTTATCCTGAGAGAACAACACAATTTTAACTCAATACAAACACATCCACAAGTACGTACAAACCCGGATCAATAGATCTGCTTTCCTGACACGTAGTTCACTGAATTTAGATTTGAAATTGTTACTATATCATTAATAATCCACACTGAATTATGTGCAGTGACAAAGAATAAGATTATGTTGAAAAACAAACGTTTACTGCAAAAAATATATGTTTTCTTTCATTATTAGCAACTAGCAGTAGAGCCCGGCGTTGCCCGGGGATGTAACAGTAAGAAATAGATCAAGTATCGACCATCATAAAGACTGAAAAATAAAATTGACAAAGATTATTGTTTAAGGTTGACGGATACGCATGTCTTAATTAGTTTTTTTTTGTTTGTTTTCAATCGTTATGAGTCTACCGATTGAATAGAATTTTATTATAAACCATTGTCTTGTAAATGGAATTTTTAAAGCATTCTGAATGTAAAAATAAAGAAAAAAGTGTGCAAGACAATAAGAAACACTATCTGCCAAAAATAAAAGTGAAGTTTTGTTGAAATCGGTTGAAAAATGTAGGAAATCCAATCCCATATATAAACACACACACACACACACACACACACACACACACACACACAACCTGGGTTTTATAATAAGTATAACTCGATATGAGTTGTCTCCCTTTCATTCTCGTGATGCCTCTTAATCGTGTTTTTAAATTGATTTTGTGCAAAAACAATTGTATTTTTCCAATTTTTGGCGCTGTCAGAACCACCGCAAAGTAATTTTACGTAGTCCTGTGAAGTTTTGTTGAAATCGGTTGAAAAATGTAGGAAATCCGATTCAATATATAAACGTACAGACACACACACACAACCTGGGTTTTATAATAAGTATGATTAACTACGCAATATAGATTTGAATTTTCGACCGGGAAAAAATAAATAAAAAAGGATTTACTTTATTCTTATGTATCTTTGGATGCATTAAAATGCAAAAAAAAAAATTATATTTTTTTATATTCAAAATCATCTTCTTGGATTGTTTTATAGGAGTGGACATCTTACTTATTAATCAAACCTTGTAATTTTGAAAATAAATTTGCTTCAGTTTTATACTCTATTTTAATTGAACGACAATTTATTCTGTAGATTATTATTCTAATTATTATAGCGAGTTAAAACAGAACCCGAATAGAGCATTACGATTTCTTTGTTAAGTAAAGAATAGTGAACGGTTACGAGGCATCTGTCCTTCTTTACGAGATGATGAAGAAGAGATTCGAGGCGACAGAGATGTGGTTCTACAGAAGGATGATAAGGATATCATGGACCGAGCGTTTGAACAACGATAAGGTCTTAGAGAGGTTGCAAACAAGGAGGAGACTTATACTTAATATCAGGAAGAGGCAGCTGAAGTTTCTGGGATGCATAATGAGGAGGGAGGGCCTGGAGAATCTGATACTCACGGGTCGAATAGAGGGAAAGAGAGACAAGGGAAAACAATGCGTGACATACCTGACGGACTTAAGTAAGTGGTTGACAGAACGTGCTCTGTGTTTGGAAGCAGAGGGAAGGAACTTATTGAGAGCTGCAAGGGATAGAGGGAGGTGGCGAGCAATGATTGCCCACGTCCTGAAAGGACATGGCACATAAAAAGAAAAGTCACTAATAGATCATTATTTTAATTGAATACTAATACAAACACAGTAATAGAAATTCATTACTAAAGCATTATTGTAACTGAATACTAATAGAAACACCCTGATAAACCATTATTCTAATTGAACGATAATATGTCCTGTAAATATGGAGATCTTACTTATAAGATAATATTTGGACGTTAATAATGATTTTTGGGGTTTCTCGAAGAACATTTGCGTCTACACCTTTTCATTTCTCTTATCCTGAAATGCTAACAATTATTCTACGCCGTTCTTTGAAACATCGCTTTGCATACATTTAAGGTTCTTATTTTATTAAAATGATTCACACACGTAAAAAATATAACAGCATCTGTTTGTACAAAAATGCACGTCTTAAATGCTGTCTTTGTGTACATTCGAATATTGTGTTCGCTTGGTTCTATGCTCAATACTTAAGGCTTCGAAAAATGCGTATGAATCGACATTATTACCATTCTTGTCATAAAGAGCGATGGAACTACTTTCAGACCTGAGGCCAGAGGAGAGAATTTGAAAACTTACGCAGCATTATAAAGTTCCTTCTTTACTATTATTATTATTATTATTATTATTATTATTATTATTATTATTATTATTATTATTATACGCATTCGATTTCTCTATATATTTTTAAGGAATAAAAAGAAAGAGAAAGCCCTTCAATATTGGTATAGTTCTTACGTTTTTCTCCGTGCAGAAAAGTCGGTCGGCTTGAAATAAACTTACTCTCTCAATCTCCTGGTTTTGATTTTTGCTTACAATATTAAAACACATTAAAAAAAATAAACTCAAATGCTGAAATTGTGCCGAACGACTTCGAAAGCATTTCTATGGGGAAGAAAATTTACACGTTTCTATATCGTCGAAAAAAGATTCTGGGTAATGATGTTAACAATAAGATATTATCAGATTTTTGTACACTTTGCTTTACTTGGACAGCGAAATGAATAAAATTTCGTTACACAAATAATACAAAACTTTAAAAAAACTATGTCAAAAGAAATTTGAGATAGTCAAGTACAGAAAATAGACGGCAAAATATGTGACATACAAATCAGAAGGAGCACTGAAATAGCGAGAAATACCTTTCAAAAGATGACCAACATATTAAAAAAGACGAAAATTTTCTTGGAAACAAAGAGTGCTAAGCTCTTATGCAATATTAGTTCTCCAAGATAGTAATAAATACTAAAGAATTTCCTCCCACATGAAAAAGAATATTTTAAAATTATTTTTATTGATTCATTTTCTACGGCTTATCAACCCATTACAGGTTATTTAAAGCCAGAAAATATTTTTAGATTGTAAGATGGGAGATAATAATAGTTTAGTGATACAAGTTTTACTAATTAACCCATAGCTAGGGGCGAAGAGATGGATTCATACTTTTCCTAAGGGTATTCGCGCGTAATTGAATGTAATGAACCCAACAGAAATTTGAACTCGGCTCTCTGATTAACAATTCATATCTATTGTCAATTACACCACCTGCATACCCAAGCTTACAACACCGGATATTTTCAAGCGGTTGCCTATCATGGGATGGGTACTGACCAGGTTCGACGTTGCTTAACTTCGGTGAGTATCTGAATAGCGTTCTAGATAGCGATGCAATTTAAAGGAGTATCAAAGGTTGTGGAATCGGAACTGTTTTTCATGAGATACCTCCTTTTCCATATGAAAACCTTGTATCCTTCAGAGTCTGTCTATATTTCTGAGATGAGGTATTATGTACAGTATTTACATTAGTCGGACTATTGTCCTCATCTTTGTCGCCATATTTGTCACAACGTTTCGGCCGTTGTACGCTCCGGCCTTCTTCAGGTGTTGGAATTTCGAACTGAACCCTTTATTTCGATCACTGGGGTAGACTGTTCTAGTTCCACGTGCCATGTTTTGATGGATGTCAGTTATGACATCCATCAAAACTGCTAATTTTCCCTCTGAAAGTTCTCCACTGCCTTAACCAGGTATTGAACTCACCTTCTTTGGGTCTGCCACTGGATCTAACCAACGCCTTTATCCACTGTGCCATGTGCCCTTGAGGACACATGGCACAGATAGGAGATAACTGATAACTGACATCCATCAAACATGGTACGTGGAACTAAAACAGTCTACCCCAGTGATCGAAATAAAGGGTTCAGTTCGAAATTCCAACCACCTGAAGAAGGCTGGAGCGTACAACGGCCGAAACGTTGTGACAAATATGGCGACAAAGATGAGGACAATAGTCCGACTAATGTAAATACTGTACCTTGTATCCTGTTATAATAAACGGGTGCATAAAACACCTAAATATTCGTCAAGAACTTGGTAAGGAGTGAAGGTCGTTGGTGCAGGGTTTTGCTGCATAATTTTCTGTGGAAGCGCTTTCTAACATTTCTAGTGAAAGTTTTATTTAATACCTATCAAAAGCTAACATCCATAATTCTAAAATACGGAAGCCTAAAAGAATAAAAAAAATTGCAGATTCTTTGTCTTGCCGACTAGGAACTCAATTCGTGTGTGGTACGGCTACTTCACGTTAAAACACCGGTTCTCGTGGGATTACCGAAGTTAAGTAACGTTGAGCCTTGGCAGTACCTTGATTGATGACCGCTTGGGAATACCAGGTTCTGTAAGCTTGGATGTGCGGGTGGCGTAATTCCAATTCCAGTTGTGTTCATTATATTCACATATACGCAAATACTCTTGGGAAACGTATGAATCCACATCGTCTCCCCCATCTATGTGTTAATTAGTAAGAATTGTATCACTAAATCTTTATTATATCAAAAAAAAAAAATGAGAAAAAACTGTTGCAATCTAAACAATATATTCTGGTATTAAATAACCATCAATGGGTTAATAAATCGTAGTAAACGAATCAATCAATTCTTGTGTTATTTTCTTGGAGGTGGAGGTTAATATTATTAGCAATCATTTTTCTCTTTCTAGTTGGGTTCTACGTAAGTCAATGGTTAGAATTAAGAAATACGTAATATACTGAAGATTTCCGAAAAATAATTTTGTGTTACTTTTCCCGAGAAAAAAAGAGAGAATAAAATGTGGCTTCATAATTTTTATGTTATTTTTTAATCCTCCATACTTGAAAATTATGAATGCAAGATTTTAGTGAAGACTAACCAAAAAGTTGCAAAGAAAATTCATCTTGCAAAATATACTTTTTGACATTGTTGGGGAGTTTTAAATGCAAAGTGTTTTGTTTAATACAAAACTTTACACATCTGAAAAAGAGTGTGTGAATAGCATGCAATTTAACAGGTTTTCTTTAGCGTCTAGAATTTTGCATTCTATCTATATTGGAAACTGTAGTCGTGAATTAATAAAAAAAAGAGGCTTTATTTTTATTCTTACGTATTTTTCTATGCACTCAAATGAAAGGGAATTATTTTTTTGCTTTCTTTTTTGTATTCGTAATAATATTTTTAAATATATTTTTATACACTCCACATGCTTTTTCCAACATGAGAAAAAAAATTGATTGTCAATATATCTCTTATAAACGTATAAAATGTATCTCTTGTAAACGCCTTTTCAGATTATTATCTTCATTTCTTTTTTACAATGAGGTTCATCCTTTACAAGGCCCGGGAGGCAATTTGTGCGGATTGGAGTAGAAATTAATGGTTAACCCCGGCATTGAACCAGTTAAGATTGTAGTGATCGGGGAAACATCCGCTTCGGTGTCGGTTCTATAGGACAGTGATTCGTGGGAAGAAGCTGTTACAGTGGAACGTACTTCTCACCGACGGAATACGGGAGAAATTGGGCTGGTTTGCTACTATATAAGTGGCATGGCGTGTCCTTGTCGTGAAGGTTTGACCTACCGAAACCAGGTAACGTAGTTCGTCCGAGCACTTTACTTGAAAGTAGCGACAGAGCAGGGAGAGGCTTGCCAAATCCCGCCCGTGAGAGAGAGAGGTTGGAGAATAATTCGTCACCTACAAGGACTTGAAGACGCTGTTAGAATCTATCAAGGCTGGAGAGTGAGGTCGTCTTTGTTGCTTTTAACAAAGTTCCTGTCGATGCATTCTTCAGCCTTCCCGTATTCATTAATATAAAACTACTGAACTGCAGGCAATACAGGAAGGCCGAATATTGCATCGGCCAAAACGTTATGTTGCAAGCAATAACAACTAAAATAATAGCAAAAAGGTTTTATGGAGTATGGAAATACTTAGGATCTCTATCAACCGCCCCACGCGGTTAGATGTGGCACAAGGCCGAATTTAATGTGGGGTATCCGAGCCCGTAGACTCAAACAAAATTTCTCACAGACGCCTTATAAGACAAGACTCTGCCCTTCGACATAGGTTCGTGTAGTGATCCTCTCTGTCCGGAGGCAGAGAATTTGACCAGCACAGCTGGAGACGAATCTCCAACTGCAAGATATCAGATTTGGCACAAGGCCGAATTTCATGTGGGATGTCCGAGCTCATAGAATCGGCCAAAATTTCCCCATAGACCCCGTATAAAACGGGGTCGGGTAACTGTTTCTCGAGACGTGTGGGAATCCTCAGCTGATGAACTCTAGACACTAGATACTTAGGTCATCCAGAAAGACCGAAGAATGATTCATGTAATATTCGAACACGTGTGCTGAATGTTGAAAATACTGCCCACAGCTTCTAAAAATATTTTAACCCTATCCATTGTTCAAGAAAAAGTTTTCTTTTCAAAGTGAATTGTTTGTGATGCATGAACTATGTCAAGTAATTATATTTAAGCATTGACTTACCTTTGCGCTGTTCCGAACGAAAGCAACTAGCGTGTGAAAAGGTGCTTCTTCGTAATCCAAGGGTTTCATAAGACGAATATTTCCACTGGAAAGACAAAAAAGAATAATAATATTTTTATAATATAAAATCATAAAACGTTCTAAGGATAAGTGTTTAAAATACTTATACTAAAATGTATAAACTTAACGAATGTAAATGAAAAAGCGAAGCAAAACTTATCTATATCTATAATTCTCAAAATGTGTGTGTATGTGTGTGTAATCGGATGTTTATGCATTTCCACAGTTTTCATCCGATTTCGATGAATTTTTTTTTGTTTGATAGATAATTCTTCAGTGCCGGTTTTGAGTCCAAATTGGTTGGAAAAAATTACAACCTTGAAGGTAAAAAAATTAAAAAAAAACTGATTTTTTACACTTTACACAAAATCCAAAAGCAAATTTTAATGTCTGTAAAAAACAGCGTACAATCAAGTTAAAGAGTTGAAATCTAACGCAAAAGATTATTAGAATTATAAAAAAAAATTATATTATAAATAAAAATTATCGTATATTATTATTATGACGCTCAATGGAAGAGGTTCCTTCCTTGCAAAATTGAGAATGCAAAAACAGCCCTTTTCAGGGCCACTCCCACCATTCAAATTGTTAACCCCCTTCATTTGGGGATGTGTTTCAATTACACCCAGTTGTTGTTACTAATATTGGTTTTGGGTGGGATGACTTTAAACTTAAACTGTTCCAAATGAAGGGCAAAATTAAAGTAACGAAACACCTGGTCGAAGACGGGTTTACCTGTTATATATATATATATATATATATATATATATATATATATATATATATATATATATATATATCAAGTATGTGGTGCAGTTCATTTTATTACATGAATCATTCATACAAAAACAGATACAGTAGTTAATGATTCTCGCCATTTTTATCAACTTTATATCGGTTTTTGTTTGAATGATCATATGTAATATATATATATATATATATATATATATATATATATATATATATATGTGTGTGTGTGTGTGTGTTGCGGTGAATGCAAATTGATTCCTTAGCAACATAGATCGATATCAGTAACAGGAGTTTAAGAACTGATGACCATTTATATGGAAATAGTGTTCGCGTGGTTTTTCCATGCCATGAATCTGTCTTTAATTGGAAAGTAAATCTTAACAGACGCCAGAATTTCATCGATTAAAAACCTTAAAGAGTCCTTATCAATCAGTTTGTGCCATGCGTGCTACACGCTTAGGCGATCATGTATCTTTCGATACACGAGTAACGAGGCAGATATTTTTTCGACAGTAGGTTGCCATTTCTTTCTGTGGTAGACCAGTTGCCATCCAAGGCTATAGAACCCTGTCCTGCTATTTACCCCTACCTGGGGGAGAGAAGAAGAGGATTTCCCAAGTGCACGTAAGTGAATGTCATGGATTCGACTGGAATTCGATCTCGACTCTCCGATTTCTCATTCTGAGCCGCTATCTATTACTCCACGAAATGTATAAACTTGGCGAATGTAAATGAAAAACCGTAGCAAAATGTATAGAATATATGTATGTATATGGTGTGCTTTGAGGATGAGAAACTACACAAACAGCTAGTGTATGGCAAACAGGTCCATAAAAGGCACTTTTAATACAAGCCAGAAAAAGTTACCAAGATTGCCCGAAGGAAGCCAATATCGATGTTGACACCTGGGAAGATCTAGCATCAGACAGAAGCCAGTTGAAGAAACCAGTTGCTCCGGGTGTTAACGTCTTTGAAACCAATAGCATATTGCTAACTAAAATATTCTGTAAAATATATAAAAGATGTAGAATCCTTTCCAGAAGGGAGATCAAAGCAAAGTTTGACATGCGATAAGTGTGGCCGTGTATGCCTATCAAAAGCCGGCATCATTCTATCAAGGGTGCCGAATTCCAGTAAAACATGTGGCTCGAATCTGCATTGCGTAAAAAAAGTGTCTCGATTGACAGGTGGACGGTAGCTTAATTTTAAATCACGCCACACAAATGAGGAGGCAACTGCAGAAAGGTTTCAGGGCCGTATTTACAGGGTAGTGTAGAGGTCACCTTAGAAACGTCACCATCTACAGCAATGAAATCTGTGAGAACGTTTATCTGTTTGTATCTGAGAGTAGGTTGTGATTATACACTAGCTAATTTCCAACATTCCTCAACGATGAAAAAGCGACTTGAAACAGAAATATGTTTCTGCTGGAGGATGCTGGGAAGACCAAAAATGTGTGTACGAACAAAATTTCTTTTTAGAGAAAATAGAATCCAAAAGGACATTTATACTTAACATTAGAAAAAAGACAGATGAAATTTCTAGCGTGCATAATGTGCATGGGATTTATTTATATTCTACAATATTAAGCTCTAGCCCCAGATGGGGGGGGCCTTCAGACTATCTCAACTTCGGGTGGGGGCTGAGGCGTACCCAAAAGGGAAATTGCCGAGGGGGTTAGGAATTTTTCCATGGTACTGCCGATAAACCCACATTCAGCATCATGACCTTGTGTCACATCTGGTTGCGTGGTGGGCGCGCTGGTAAATACTTAATAAGGAAAGAGGGCTTGGAAAATTTGATACTCACAGAACAGATTGAAGGCAAGAAGGGCAGCGGAAAACAACGGATAACCTACTTAACGAAGCTGAATAAATTGGTGGCAAAACAAGGTTTAGGAGAGATCAAATTTAATAAGAGCTACAAAGAACAGGAAATTATGATCGCCAACGTCCTGAAGGGACATGGCACATAGAAAAGAAGAACAACGTCCAGGCCACATTCGTTATTTCGTTTAATATATAAACGATTAGGTAAATATAAGTAGGTATTCCAGCGAGTGATATTATAC